TCGCACCTGTGACTGAGGTGGAACTGGCCCCTGTCTGGGCTGGTAGAGTGGCTGCTGTGGCTGCTGAAATTGCCCTTGTCTGGGCTGGTACGGAGGCCTCTGGAAACCAGGTGGTCCCTGGGGAGCTGGTGGTTTGGGATTTGCCCCAGCCCAAGAAAAAATAGGATGCTGGCGCCACCCCTCGTTATAGGTGTTGCTGTAGGGGTCGATGCGGCTGGCATTACCGATGAAGTTCACCTGCTCTTGGGGAGTAGACGATTCTCTCATCGCCTGACAGTCCTCCACGGTGTGATGAGAGCTCTCACACCACTGGCAGTGCATCGCCTGCGGCTGTCCTGTACCTGCAATCAAACCAGAACGATCGATAGCTGAAACCAGCTTCGATACCACCTGCACCAAATCAGATGACTGGGTGCCCACAGCATGCACACCACGTCCTGGTGCTCGTCTCGATCTCCTGGCAGTGCCCCAATCGTACCCATTCTCCGCCATCTCCTCAAAGAGTTGATTCAGCTGTGGCAGGGTTTTGGTCAGCATGTTCCCGCCGCAAAACCGAATCAATCAGCTACTTGTCCTCCAGGAAGAGGGCGTGATAGAAGGTGCCCACCTTGAAAGCATCATTGAAACCATGATTGGGACACCTGAGAAAGAGACTGGTGTATCTCTCCCAAGCATCCCTGATGGTCTCATCCTCATCCTGAGCAAAATGTGTAATTTGCTTCTGCAGGTCAGCTGTCTTGGATGGAGGATGGTAGCGGGTGAGGAACTTGTCCGCCAGGTTGGCAAACGTGGTGATGGAGCCCGGAGGTCGAGTGTCTAGCCACTCCTTGGCTTGCCCCTCCAGAGTGAATGGGAAGTACCTCAGCTGGATGGCGTCTGCTGGTACCCCATTGATCTTGATTCCATCGATGAGCTCGTGGAATCGCCTGAGATGTGATCGGGGGCACTCCCCCTCCTTACCACGGAACACCACTGAACCGCGCAACATGGTGATTACTGAGGTGCTCACCTCAAAATTGTTGGCTGGGACATGAGGGTGTTGAATGGGTGACCTCATATCCGCAGCTCTAGCGGTCCAGTAGGATCCCATGGTCTGCTCCTCTGGGTTGATCACATCATGGTTCTGTGGATCAAGCCATCTCTTCTTCTTCTTCGATCTGCAACTGTGATAACGCCTCCTCCGCAGCCAGTCGCGCCTTTAGAGCCCGCTTGAATTTCCTGCAGGTTCGTTCAAGCTCCTGGTCTAATGGTAGTAGATCTCCCGACTGGCTACGGGTCATGCACTACCTGCACACAATCAGCAGAAGCAACCCGTGAAGGCACACAGGTGGAAGAGAAAGAATGCAATAAAGAAAAAGCTAGAGTAACAAATTCTCACGTTTCCACAATAACCTAGAGGGGTCCCCGGCAACGGCGCCAAAAACTTGACACGCCAAAACACAACACCAAACTGCGACCAAGTGTAATCGCAGTCCGGGAATGCAGTAATAGGCAAGTTCTATTATCAACCCGGGGTCTAGATCTACTGCTTACTCCGTGATGATTTATTATCTAGCAAACTAATTCGAGTGATTGTTGTTTAAAGCAAAAGCGGTAAGAAAGCAGTAAATGGTTCGATTTTCAAAAGCAGGAAAGAGTCACTCGGGAATGAGTCCCCCTAGCCCCTTAGTTAGGTTCAATTGTAATTCCCCTAGGTTGATTCACTGTTGATTAGACTGCGGAAGATCCGACAGTAGCTTGGAATCTCTTAAGCTGACCAAGCCCTCTCAGTCTAACTACCCGGCAGATGACTAATCTTCACCGGGGTAGGAAGCTGAAGCAATAAGAACAGAACTCCACTACTGGAATTGAATTCCAGTACAAAGCAGTAAACTGGCTAACTCTCGTATAACCAATCTCCTACTATCGAATGAAGAGGCTCTAACAACCTAATCAGATTCTATCTATCTCAGGTTGCAGCAGAAATCGAGAAAAGCTGATCAGACTTCAAACAATTCAATAAACATGCATCATTCGATTAAAATCAAACAATATAATCATCCCAAGTCATTACAGTCAAATCCCCAACACCAGGAACTAGGGTTCCTCATACCCAAGTGAGAGAAGGGTTCTACTCCATAGAAAGAGAGAAGAAAATAGTAATCGGATTAGTCATACACATAATGATGAGGAAAATCTGCTCCGGGATGATGATTTCCACTCCTATGACGATCTCCAAGCTCGATTTGACGAAACCCAGCTCCAAGATAGCTTCTAGGATGTGTTCTTCGTACTTTCTCTCTCTAGGGCTCTGTTTTTGCTCTGAAAATCCGATCCTCTCACTTTTGGCTCGCAATTGGCTGAAAAACCAGAATTTCCCGACTCACACGGGCAGGCCACACGGCCGTGTGGCTCACCCAGTTGCCCGTGTGAGTCAAAACGCGTCGTATCACTTAGGTCGATCTTCAGCCATCCCACACGGCCAGGGTTGCACGGCCGTGTGGATTTCCTGGGATGCCCGTGTTTGGCCTCGGCAAAAATCACACGGCCAGGGTTGAAAGTTGCACGGCCGTGTGGCTTCCTTAGAACCTCGCCATGCGTCCGATCTTCGTCCAATCGACCCCAAACTCGCTCCCAAGCCTCCATCCACGTACTAGGACCTGAAATATCACAAACAAGCACAACCTAGCGTGAAATCGGCCTAAAACACGAGAATCAACACTTCAAACGGTGTAAGAACAGGAGTAAAAACATGTGTAAATAATGGTCTATCAGTCATTAGACCTAACGTTTTCTTGTGGTTGAATGTTCTCAGTCATAGAGGAGTAAATGACGTGTCCTAGATGTGTTGCTTCCCTACTACCCGCTAGGCGATGGATGGATATGTTATATTTTGATGTTCGTTTTATTCCCCGAAGGATACCCTTATCCTATTATTTTCGAGAGAAAAGGTGATGATATATGCAAGTGAGATTGGTAATGTCATTTGTAGATTCAAATAATTCCCGTATGATTCAGTATAATCCTGTAATGAGATTTTGCTATGTTAACCCTTTTTTGGTTTTGGATCTAATTAAATCCTATTAGTTCATTCCTTGCTATTGTAAAGAATGATGTTTCAGGCCATGTAAAGTGGCCAACATTGCTGTCTTGAGATGAAACAAGAGGCATCCTTCCCTTTCCAAAGGAAACTCGACCATTGTTTGTGCGATTAGCCAACATTGTCCCTGTGAATGCTTCACAGTCAATTTAAATCGGCTGCGGCCAAATCCGCAAAATTGATGATAGAGAACCATTTGCCTGTGGAGGCGGATTTGGCTGGACACATGCAATAAGTCAACAATAAGAGGTGGCAAATGGATTATCCATGGATTGGTGGATTGGTGGATCCATGAATCAAATAGATTGTCCAATGGATTGGTGGATTCATGGATTGGATCAAGTGGATTGGTGGATTATCCATGAATTCAAATGACATCTTCAACCTTGGACCAATATGTAAAATGTGAAAAGTTTAGGTACTAAAATGTCATAATGAATTATTTTAGGTACCAAAATGTAATTTTACAATTATATTTTTCGTATAAAAAATTAAATTTTATGTACCAAAATGTAAAATATGTTAATTATAGGTACCAAACCGTAATTTGCCATTTGGATCCATGGATTGATCCATGAATCCACCAATCCAATTGGATTTGGATCAAATGGATTGGATTAGGTGGATATTTTTAATTAATTGGTGGATTGGATTGGGAATTGCCACCTCTAGTCGACATTCAATTTATTTCGTTAAATGAGCATAATGATTGTATCGAGTCTCACTTGGATAGAATGATCTCGATGGATTTAAGAAACTTTTGACCGCATTAGTAGTGCAATCAAGAGAGATCAAGTGAGATTTTATTAGATGAAAAATTCAACACCCAGCAAGCCAATCACCCATCACTATACGAATCATTGTGAGATTCCTGCCACTAAGATTCCATTCGTGCCGCTACAATCAACAAGAAGGTAAACAGTTAACACCCTAAGTGAACTGGTAGTCAACTACTCATCGAGAAATTAGTTTAGGGGTAAGGCCAATCATGAAATCTGTGAATAGGAAGCCATGCCCTGAATAAGTTGATAGATTCTATCCATTCCCAAGAGGATTAAGGGTGCTCGAGTGCACCACCTTGACAGGGATGGGTGATAGGTCTAATGTAGTGATGTGTGTGAGATGTCACCAAATTGAGATTGTTTGGTAACTCGTTTATGGTGTCAGTCTTTGAGGGTATGTCAACGTGCTATCCAAATTATTATAGACTTCGAAACAAATAAAGCATATGTTAAGTCATCCATGGAGACATTATGACAACTTGACAAAAAGAGAAACTTTCAAGTTAGCATAAGGATGGTTAAGTTTTGAGTGGAGGAGTACGTTTCGTGACATGGAGTTCTTTTACTTGTTTCAAATTATGTTTTATGTAGTGTTGTGCAAGTCTCTTCTCAAAGAAAAGGAGAATAAGAGGGGTGCCCCAAAGGGACAATACTTTTCCAACATTAACTACCTCGTCAACCATATTGACTAAGGGGCGAATGAGGTAGATGTGGATTTGGATGAACTATATCCACATGGAGCCTCTTTAAGGTTCCTTGTGAACTAACATGGCTTTGATGGATGACTAAGGTCATCATTGATGTCATGCCATGCCAAAGTTCCTAAGCCAATTCAGTTACTTTCAACGCTTCATCTCGAATTTTGCAAACTGGATCCAAGTGTTATCCTTAGGAAGAGGAGTTGGCCTAACTCATGTCAACTTGAATTCTGTTGACCGAACACCATTGTCATCCCTATGAAGTTAAGATCATCAACAAGCCTAGTGTGACATGAATCCACCAATCCAAATGGATTTGGATCAAATGGATTGGATTTAAATGGATTGGATTAGGTGGATAATTTGGTGGATGGATTGGATTGGATTCATGGATTTGGATCCTAGTTGCCACCTCTACCACCATTGGATACAATAATATATGTCTTTCATTAATAGTAATTGTAGTATTGTTATACAAAACAAAAATCCAAAAAACAGAAATGGATCCTCTAAGATTAGCAGAGGTTTAAAATCTCCTCCACCCAAATCCAAGTCTCCTCGGCCCGCTCCCTCAAAAAAAGAAAAAGCACACCTTAAAACTATGCAACTGCTGAAAATCCTCAACGGGGAAAAAACCAACAGCTTCTCGTCCCTTCCACGGAGCTCAAACCTTTTAACAATTTAATTGAACAAAACACACTAGTAATTTACTCGTAATCATCCCGCCGGTCCTACGCGGCCGACGGCGCCGTAACGTAATGAAGAACTCCAGCCTCCGACAAAGCCGCCAGGAACGGCTGCACATTCACCGCCTCCGGATCCACCACCGCCGCCGCCTCAGACCCGACCCAGTTCCCGTAATCCAACGACTCGTCCTCGTAAATCTCCCACCACTTCTTCACCAGCATTTTGATGTCCTCCCTCTCCATGTTCTCTTCCTCCCCTGTATACCTCCACGGCTTAGATCCCTGTCACAACCAACATTAGTACGAAACCAGAGCCAATCAATCCCAATAACTTGTTTAATTTAACCACTTACCGCGGCACAGTAGTGGACGACTTTGACCTTTTCCAGCTGGACGTTCTCCGGGTGGCGCCACAGCATCGCGAGCACGAGATTGTACGCGTTCGGAATCGGCCGGTAGACGTCCCTGAAGAACATGTTGAGGAAATCCTGCTCGGCGAAGGGAGTCGGCGGCGTGATTTTCAGCTTCTTCATCAGCTCGTCGTAGATCGCCAGGCTGGGCTCGTAGACGAACATCCCGGCGTTGAAGTAGAGAGCGGGCTTCGGGCCCATTTCGTCGACGGCCCAATTGACTTTATCGGGCCTCTGCTGGCAGTACCCGACCTTGTACTGCGGGGTGCGGGCCCACGTCTTCTCGCAGAAACAGTCCATCACCGCGTAGAAGTGGCCGTCGGGGAGGTCGAAGAGGTGGTCGATGTTGTCGAACACCTGGATGTCGCCGTCCAGGTAAATCATCTTGCTGTACTCCACAAACTGCGACACCAACCAGAAGTAATAATTCAATCGATCAATAAAATTACTATGAAGTAGTACGTGCGGTAATTACATCGATCTAGTAGAGTATGTGTAGTACGAATTTTATTGCTGTAACAAAATTCGTACTACACAGAGTCTATATAGGTGTGGTTCGAACGAACGAACTGTTACCTTCCAGATGCGGAGCTTGGAGTAATTGATGACGTAGTACGCCATGGCGAACTCAGTCTGGTTGTCCGGCGGGGAGACGGGCTCGATCTCCCGGACGATGCAGCCCTGGGAGACGAGGATCCGCCGGTGGTCCTTGGGGACGTCGGGGAGGATGGCGACGACGAGAGGGTACTTGCTCTTGGCCTTGCGGAGTCCCTTGGCGAGGCCGACGACGCCCTTCACGTAGTCGCCGTTTCCGGCGAGGAAGGTGACATAGGCGCACTTGGATATGCTGGGCTGCTTCGCCAGAGTGGTGGCGGCGGCGGTCAGGGTGCCGTTGGCGATTGGTGTGATCTCAGGAGCCATTTGTAGCGAAATGGAAAAAACTGTTGATGTTTGAGTGGAACGGCTATTGAGGGAATTTGGAATCTCTTTTTCTTCTTCTGTTTGCTTTGTGATTTGGTTGGATGGCTTGTGGTGGAGTTTGGAGCTACGGGAGGGATCTATTTATGGAGAAATGGGGACGACGGTGGGAATTTGTGATTGGTTAAGATGGATTATGTTTTAAGAAAAGGGTGATTAATGTGGTGGGGAGATTAATTCTTTTTCTTAATTTAAATTATCTGTGTCCAGTCCACGGGAGAAGTTACTAGAGGGTGGAGTCCGCGATCGGACGGTTGGCAGAGGATCAAAACGCATCGGACGGCTTCGGAGAAAAGAGTGATTTTCAAACAAGCTGGAGGGAAGATACCAGAAGATCCCTTCTCCAGACCTTTCCCCAGCTGCTAGCCTGCTACTGCTGCAGACAACCTAGCGACTGCTGATTTTATGGTACACCATTCACTTACCTAGAAATTACGGTTAATTTGGAAATTAAATTTAATTAAATCGGTCTTTTAACCTTAGCGCCAAATTACGGAAAATGGTTATTTGTTGTTCTCCAGATTTCACGGTAGGGGGGGAAAGGGGCGCGCGTGGGACCCACAACGGGGAACCATTAGAGGTGCCACGAAGGAGGAACACGTGGTGGAAATTGAAAGAGGAGTGGTTCTTTGTCCCGGTTGCCGACCCCGCCTTTGCGTGGGACCCGCGGGATTGGTTACGTGGCACCTTGAGGGTATGTGCTGAGGCCAAGTGTCGGCGAGTCATTCACAGGCCGGGTCTACCTGCCACGTGGGGTGGCTGGATCGCGTTGGATCAGGGTGGGCTGGAGATTTGAGCTTTGGGCCTTTTTTATTGTTTAATTTGTTGGGCCTGCACTGTGGCGTCGGTCTTCTCCTCTAATTTGATCGGGGTGGACTGGAGAAGTGGAGATAAGATTCATTAATTTTTACTTTATTACAAATCCAAGCATTATTATGATATAAGTAACTGTGATCTGGTGAATGGTGAGGCAGTGAATATTGCTGTACTTTTTTCTTTGTCGATGATAAAGGGAAAGGAGATTGTGAACAGGATAATAGTTTAAAAAGAAACCTGTTGGATTGGCGAACCGACAATTTATAGGATAACGTTTGTTCAGTGTATGTTCCTGCTAGCTACAAAATCAATGAAAACGTTTATTTTGGGTAAAGATTGCAACCGCCACACCACGTTTCATGGCTTGGATTGGGCCAACAGTAAACTATGGGGTACGTAATTTAATTTCTTCCCACCTTTCTCTGTGTGGATGAATAACTTATGAGGCAAGGTATCCAACAGTGGGTGATTTTTCCTGGATTTGGAGGGACCCGAAAGCTAACTATAATCTTGGAGTAGTTGTCACTTCAGGATAGAATCAGTTTATATTATCCTTTATGACCGTTGTCCACACGTTTAGGGGAAGGTGTTACTGTTACTGTGGTAGTGATTGTTACCTTACTACTATCAGTCAATTCCCTGTAATTTTTCCACGATGATGGGATATATTACCGGCTAAATTTTTTCATGGGCGTGATCCAATGATAAAGGCAATGACTTTGTACAAGAAGATTTATAATTCGTATCTCACCATTAGAGGTGGCAATTGAATCGCATTCGTGGATTGGATTGGTGGATCCATGGATCCAATGGATTGGTGGATTCATGGATTGATGGATTGATCAATGAATCCAAATGACATCCAAGGCTTGGACCAATATGTAAATTTTGAAAAGTTTAGGTACTAAAATGTCATAATGAAAAAATTTGTATAAAAATATAAATTTTAGGTACCAAAATGTAAAATATAAAAAATATAGGTACCAAATCGTAATTTGCCATTTGGAACCATGGATTAATCCATGAATCCACCAATCCAATTGGATTTGGATCAAATGAATTGGATTTAAATGGATTGGATAAAGTGGATAATTTGGTGGATGGATTGGATTGGATTTATGGATTTGGATCCTAATTGCCACCTCTACTCACCATGGTCATCATTAGCTAGGGAGTATATGATCACTTGTATAAGCAGCGAGATAATTTGTCCGCATGCTACATACAACATGAGACGATATATTTAATTTAACTTAATTATGGGCTAAAATTTTATTGTCGATCGTCAAAATATGTATAACGTTAGAAAGTTGATCACCCGAGAAAACTGATTATACAATCCTGGAATGCCATTACGTACAATGTTAAACAGTTCAAAGGAGAAAGCTCATGATCCTGAAATGTCATTATCCTCTTTCTTGCATTAATTAATCTCTAGTGCAAATAGAGATTTGAGCTGTACCATTATTCAAATGAAGCACAAGTTTAGGCGGTTATTAATACGTATGTGGGATCCGATATTAACTATAAAGATCACATATAGTCAAAGAAGAAAGTGAGGGAAGAGGCGGAAGAAGGAACAGCTGGGGGATGGGAGGTGGTACCCAGCTTAACAATTAATTAAGTTTACCAAATCCATGCACGTCGATATTAATATTCCATTCAACAACAGTAGTTTAGTGTGTAAGAAAAAGGAATGGTCGGTCGGTCATCTCAATCTCATCGCTTTTGAAGCTGTCGGTGATAGAAGAAAGGAAAATGAAAATTCAAAATACAGTTATAGTTTCTTTCTCACTTTTTCCGCTCCGCCAGGCAGCTTCAGCCACATTTCACCATCGACGGACGGTTGCCTCATCCTGCTCCCCATTCCCCAGCTGGGTGGGTTTAGGTCATCAACCAACGTACGTGTCCCACGTCCCCATCAACTTAATTAATTACCCCTTGTTCCAGGCAGCTACTGGCTTAGTCATGACTCATCAAAGACGGACTATATCATCAACAGTAATAAATCACGCCCTAAACTTTGGGATTTGGATATTCCTAAAAGTTATTCCTTATATATGCTTCGTTAGGTTTGACTTGATGCACACGCATATTACACGGCGAGCGACGTACACAGTTAAGTGTCCGTTGGTATATGGCGGAAGGTAGGTTGCCCGTTGGTAGTTATTATGGTTGAATTCTTTTGAGGTTGTTATTATAGTGGGCGGTGGATTCTTGGATTGGATAACGCCTTCTTGTGTAAGGCTAAGGAAGAAGAATACGAATTAATTAACAAGATGACTACGTGCCGCCCCCACAAACCAAAATATTCAAACTGAGATGAATTTTATTGTTTACTGACTCCAAATCCCCCTTCTTCCTCGAGCTTTCCGTCTTCCTCGTTTGTGATTCGTGCAGGGTGATGGGCCCTCCAAACGTATCATGGGCCTCCTTTCCACTGTTGTCCCCAATTTTTTTTCGTGGGCTTCTAGCCTGGTTTTGTGAAAGAAACTATTTCGTTGCTTGTTATTCGTGCGGATTACGGGTGGGTTCGTACATGAATGAAAGCCGATCAAGTACAAACTCGAAATCAAATTCACCAAATTTGGCTGGAGTTTTGGACACGAAGAAGAAACAATTATATTTGAATTGGTGTGTCGAAAACGATGGTAAAACTTATATGCCCAAAACAAAATCAATTTGATTTTAGAAGATTTTGATTTAAATAGCGATCCTTGTCAAACACTAATCTGTATATGATTTTTTTATTACAAGATATTACCCAAAACTCTAGTTTGCAAGTATTATGTTATTGTTGTGACTATTAGTTTCACATATATATTTATTTTGTTTTAATTATTTTTGTCTTTCTTTCACGATTATATGAATTAAGGGCTACACCCTAATTGTGCAAATCAGTAATTATGTCGATCAGGAAATTGTGCTTGAGATGGAATTCTTATGACATTTTCTCCAATGTGTGACCACAATTACCGAAAGAAAAGAAAAAAATGACGCATGACCACTTGAACTAGTCCTCTTCTATTATAGGCATCCATTCCCACATCAACGGTTCAAAATCAGACATTATTATATATTGCGCCGTGAGACCAAAGCCCAAATAAAAAAATAGTACCCTCTAGAGGGTAAGACCCGTTCAGTTAGCTCAATATTTGAGCCAAGTGAATAGCTGTTGCAGGCGGCCAATATCTTCGGGCCATCATCAGAGTCACTGGGCTCCACACACGTCTCTGCCCTACTCCAACATGCCCGAAGGGCTCCTGTATTCAAGGGCTGCATCTCAGCAGGAAATGGCCCGGGGACTTTCCTGGACCCATGAAGGGCCCATTCTCTTCGTCAAGAGGGTTGTTGATGTTAATGTACGACACTTGTAAACTTATTCCAATAGATTTTCTTCTTTCTAGTCGATGTGGTACAACACATATTCAGATGGGTGGGAAGAAAGGAGGGTTTACCTCAATTCAACTCAACACAATTTTCCCTAAATATACTTTTGTTTTAGAGATGCAAGTGCATAACTGAGCAGAGTTTTGTAATGTTTAAGTAGGAAACTCTTACACGCAGCCTTCAGTAGGAAACTCTTACATGTAGCTTTCAGTTTGTATCTCCTTATAGAAAAAAAAAAGAGGAGGAACAAACAAAAGTCTACACAAAATTAGTGGGTAGCCGAGATACAATCTGGGTCCCCACTCCCTTTGCTATAGCAAAGCTAAGTCTAGACAAAATGTATGCGGCCGCCCGAGTCCCCGCATCCTAAGACACAGAGAAGACTCAGTCAAATCGACACACACATATCGCCCCCTGTCCCAGGAATAAAGCTGCAAATCCGTAGGACGAAGGGGTCTGTCATGCCCATCAACCAAACCGATATCAACCTCCCTACTGGCAGAAATCATAGATCTGTAACAGATGTCCAATAAGGTATCACGAACGAGGTTGCGTCGATGCTTAATGCCCACAGAACCAGCACAGGACACAATCTGGGTTGGCCGGCTACCCTAGCGGGGTCGTATATAAGGAGAGTCTTCTCCTTCTTGTATTCTAAATCGACTATACAGATTAATCAGATTATCAGCTTGGAGAGCTTCACAGCTCTCCCGTGGAATAGTACTGAGATAATCAGGGATACCAAGTTAATGCGTTGTCTCTATTTTTTTAGGTTTATTTCATAATGTCTAACATGGTATCAGAGCAAGGTACCGACGATTCCGATCGTCTCAGCATTCGTTTGGATTCGAAGAACTATGCAGTCTGGGAATTTCAATTCCGAATCTTTATTGA